AACTCTCCATCAGGATCTCCACATTTTTTCAGACATTCCTGATAAGTATATTCATTAATTATGGCCTGTCCATTCTTATCTCTCTCCGAATTTAATGCTTCTCTAAAAATTTTCTTCGAAATCTGCTTAAAATCATCTCGACTCATACTGTCTATTCTTTTAAAAATAGCCTTCGTATATAAGGTTATGATGTTGCCGCGTGAAGCGGACAGCACACAAGGGCAGCTGAAAGTCGCCACTGAATAGCTTCGAATATAAGGTATTTTCTGTTTGTTTTTAATTTTTGTTTCATAGAAAATTTTTGATTCTGTCAAAAGTTATTCTTTTCGTTCTCAAACATGTTGTAGGTAGTTTCTGTCGATTTCGTGGCATTAAACTACAATCCAAACATATTGATTTATTTCTGCCGTTCACGTCACACTAGGTTATCAGTCATTCTATTGATTTCAAAGCAATATGTAAAAGTGTCTCAAAGGAAACAATTTTTTATTTGCAGCGCAGATCGAACATTGGCTAAAAACCTTTGCGTTAGTAATTTTTTCTAAATTCTTAGTTTAGTGTTTTTAGTTTTGGTTCTTAATTTAGCTCTGATTTTGTGTTCAAGTATGCTCATCAAATTTGTACTTTATTACTTCCAATAAATAACAATAAAAATAACATGAGAAAAATCATACGTATGAATTTACACCTCACTTTGATTGTAATAGAAGATGGTATTTAATAAACTAAAATCATTTTAAGTGCATTACGGAATCTCTTAATCAGGCGTACTTTTCTCCTTTAAATTCACTTCACCAAAGACAATAAATCTAAATTTACGGTAAGTAAGTACTATTCGTTGAACATCGTCTTCATTTTCTGATTTCATCATTAAGAAATAAAAACGATCACGAAATATTTTATGAAACCAAATGTTGAGCAAATGACACCAAATTAAGAGATAAATTCAACCTGCAATGTCAGGTTCTTAGACATAGAAAATTTATATCTAAGGGTGAAAGTAAAACTCTTTTGAAACGAGTCCGAATGAAGAGAAGTTCAAGAAAGAGAACAATTTAAATTGAAACACTTACCCATCTATGATTCTACGTAAGTTCGTAATCAAGTTTTTAAACGAATGAATTTCAAAGATCCTGCATTTAAAGTTTAGCGATGCTGAATTCTGAAATATGTAAATCTGGCTATTTTTACCTTATACTACCACTTGTTTTAATTTTTCCAAATTTAATTTTAAGAAATAGCTATGAAGGTCTTGATAAGGAATGGCATCTAATAAGGACTCTATAAACACAGGAAAAGGTCTAGAATTTATGATTTTTGGAATGAAGCTTTTTAAACTGCTGTAGTAATAAAAATGTTTCCTAATTTAACAGTATTAATTAAAGCTGTACTGAGCCTCCCTCATTCGTTTACAGTAACAAAAAGAATATTTCTTTTTGTAACTGTAAAAGAAACTGTTTTAGCAGTGAGAATGAATAAGAATAAAATAAGAAACCAACAACAAATTCTCTTAGTCTCTTATACTCTTTCTGAAAAATCAAAAAATTGAAACACTCGTGAGTGACATATATTTTATTACTATTTTAGAGTTTACTAGTAAGGAATTTTCTAATTCCTTACCGCGTGCCTTCTTGGTGTAAATGGAAGCAGTCTAGCTAGCAACAGGGAGGTTGAAGAGTCTTAACAAACGAAGATATCTACTACTTTATAAAAAAAAAAAAAAAAAAAAGACTCTACAAACTCGAACTAAAATGCGGTAGACGATAATTTATCATTACCTGGATTTGGTCGCAGGATCCTTCCTCTCCATTCACAATTTGAATGGAGAAGAATATAAGGAATTTTCTCCTTCCTTACAGCATACCTTCGTGTTGTAACTGGAAGCACGGGAGGACCGAGGTTCAAACCCACATTAAACTGCTGATACTTCATGCTTCCCGTTCTGAAATAAACTTATTGACTCTACAAATTTACTAGAATCTGCAAATTAATAAATAAATATTTCCAGCATTTTCCTGTATGTAAGAATATGTGCAATCACCATTTTAAATAAATGGAATATCTTCATGTAGACAAATAATCATGTAGACAAATTAAATAAATAAAAGGGTTAAATTTTATAGCTAACTACAGCGGAGAATCTTTTTTCCCTCATATTTATCGAATGGAGATTAATTCAGCAATTTTAAACTGAATTTATCAACGATAATAAAATAATAATATCACAAAAAGCATTAAAAAGAGTGAAAGAGTGCAAAAACTAAGTTCGTTTCATTTCAATGACAGCCCATAACTTGCCAGCGCGGATAAAACAGCTGGACATTGGTAGTTTGATCCAATTTCAAATCCCAGCAAACAAAATGGCTTCACGGACAACATCCCAGGTTTTCCCATTCTTAATACGTATATGTAAACTTTTACCACGGTTAGGCTTCCATCCTTTGCGGTCTCATAAATGACCGAGTAATTAATACCGATAAATTCTGGTAGTTCAACCCGGGTTCAAACCTAAAGGAATGAACTGGGCGCATGCTTGATTTTCACCATATGTAACGTGAGTACGAATAACCTTCCTTCGCAAGCCCTAAAACATCTTTCCTCTTAGACAGATCGCTCTCGTGTGCTTTGCCATATTCAAATAACCTAACCTAGCCCATTCTTTGTTTTCCCTGCGTGAAGACTTAGTCCTAATATGCTTTGCCGTGACAGATTAAACAAATATTCCTGGGTACTTTCCTGTTAACGGGTAGCCAATCGCCAAATGTGCTCCACGGCGCTAACGATGGTAGCCTATTTACTATATCGCGTCTTCAATAGTTACGCAATGCCAAAGCTGTAAATATGGGCAGAACAAAAAATCTCCCCATTAAACAGCGATTTGTTTTCTCTTTAAAAAAATCAGAGAAACGCATAAATTTCACATTAATTTCACTACTGCACACATTAAACATTATTACATATGTTACCGGCAAAGTATGAAACGCACACATTAAACATTATTACATATGTTACCGGCAAAGTATGTACAGTGCCTAGGCATTCTATAGAATGCCTAGGCATTGTACATAATATCGGACAATTTTAGGCAAAGTATGAAATATGAGAATTATTATGTACTTTCCCTAGGCATTCTATAGAATGTCAAATGCTCTTTAGGCAAAGTATGAAAAAAAGGTTATGATAAGGCTATTATTTAAAATATGTTCATTCTTCTAAAATACAGATGTTGTTTTGAAAATTTAATGAAAATGTGCAATTAAAAAAACCTGTTATTTGAACTATATAAAAAACGATAGTGAGATGATCTTGATACAACATACTAAATTTGTATTTTCTATCTGGCTAAGACTGGGAATCATTAAGATCTACCTAACAATGGAAATTAAATTTAGGAAACAATCTTAAGTTTCACAACAATGCCCTTTTTAGTACTTTTTTTTCTGACAGGTGTGTAGTTTCTCACAAAGGTGGCTGTACTGTTCAATATCATTTACGTCTAACGTTTTTGTATTTGGTTCTAAGTTCTTTCAACATTTTGTCACATGTGTCAAATGAGTTTTCATGAAGAACGGGGAAATAATTCAGCATCCGTGACGTAATACTGTATAGTACTGACACTTTCTTTAACAAGATAAGTGAATGGCATTTTGTTTTCCACAAACATCACATCCTAGGGATCCAGCACCCAGTAGTCTCGTGGTTCCTTTTTAGTAGTCAATTTGGTCTTTTTACATCATTTAACTTCTGGTAAGTAGTTTGGTCCTCCGAAACAAATCAGAAATGTATTTCATATTTTGACGGTTTGTCATTTGGCATTCTATAGAATGCCTAGGAAATAAATGAATTCAAACTTTGGCCGGTAACAAATATATTATATAATGCATTACTGTTAGTTCTTTTTTTCCCTGAAGCTTTACATATGACTAGAGTTTCTGCTATCTAGTTAGACTTCTCGGCAACGTACATGTAAAACTGATAATAATTGTTGTAAAATTGATGATAAAATTTTAAGAAGTGCTGAGCAAACGAAATCAGAACTAAAAATTATGTCAAACTGTGTAAATCCAGGGTCTTTCCAAATGATTTTTCAGCGTATTTTTTATTAATTTTTAAGGAATATAAAATGTTTTAATCAATTATAGATAGCTGTAAAAATTTAATGAATACTTAACTAATGTTTAATAGATAATATTTGTATTTAATTTTGTATCAAATATATAAATTATGTAATTTTCAGTTTATCTACTGCGTTCATATAACAATAATTATTAATTTTATTTTCAAAAAACATTTTATTATTTTAAAAACATTTTGAAAAGTAAAAGCGTTTTTTTTTTTCCTTACTAAGGTTTCCAAAAATAAAATTTTAGGAAAATTACACAATAGATGTAAAATGATGAAATACTTAAAAATAATATATTCTATATGAGTATTATAATTAGTTTATTATCCCGAATTTTTCAGAAGTAAATGATTTTAGATAAAAAATTTTTCAACAAAATCCTTTATAAATCGTATCGCCAATCTCCCACTGGCAGCTAGGAAGTTTTAATATCACCCATATTCTAATGAATTCAGTTACGTTATTTTCATACTTTTTTAAGTCATGGTCACAACGAATATTAATTTAGTGTCCCTTGTAAGAAGTAAACCTAGATAGAACAGCGTTTGCGTTAAACGCTACTCTGAACTAAGGACGAACTCCGAAATCCGTGACAGTAATGTAGAAAAAGGGCGCAGGAAAGTGCAGCAACTTAGAAATGAAAAAAATTAATATTTAAATCATTTAAGATGGAACGAAATGAAATTTAACGCAGTAAATTGCTAGATCAAATTTGAGCTTTTGACGCAATTACGTAATGCTTACCTCAGAATCACGCCTGTTAGTTATAATGATAAAGACTACTGCTTTTTAAGTTTTAAATCTAGCTTGACATTCTGGCATAATCCTAACTTGCAGGGAATTCTGAATAAAAACAGAAATTATTCAAAAAAATTACCTTAATAACACGAGTCCAAAATGTGCTGTCCGAATATTGACCCAAGGTTACATAGAGACGCCAAATATTGGGCAGAAGCATTTCACTGCACATTCACAACTTCCGCTTTCAAGCTGACGTCATAATTTTTTTTTGTTAGAACGATTCCATCTCTTATCTTATAGTTACATGGCCGGCTCTCTGTTAGCTGTCACTTGCATGTGGTTTCGCCTGTATGTGGCGGGTCAGGTTAGATAATTGAGTTTCGTTTATGCTATGATTTTTACCACTTGAAGATTCTGAAATTTCCCTGAACTTCAGTAGTTGAACGCGTCGATCCACCAAGTGTGGGAATACGATATAAATCTTGGAGCTTATATACGAAAGGCAAATTTAGTTGTTAAAAAAAATCGTAAGTAAGAGATTATTAACTCGTAATTTAACTGGGCTATTTTTAATTTTAAATAATTTAGTTGCTGTAAAATGTAAGTTATAATTCTTAAAATAAATCTGCAGGTTCTCTAGATGATTTTGTTCTTAAAGGGAATATTAAACTTATTCATTGAATATAAATATCTACATATGACTAGAGAAATTTAGCAGCAGGTGCGAAGAGTATAATCAAAATCCTTGTCTGAAATGTTCGTATTTGTTTTACTTTTTGGTATGTTTCATACAGAAAATATTGCTTGTTACATAATTTAAGAAAAATCGTCGTAGACATCGAATATTCGTAAAGCGCTGGGTAATTTTCTTAAGGATTTTTCACATATATGCATTATAAAAGTCAATTTAAATAAATCTTCTATACGTTTAACATCTGATTACACCTATACAAGGTGGAATAGAATTGATGGGGAAAGTGCAGAATCGTCCACTGCTTGGCGCGTTTTTAAGAATTGCACATACTCGGTATCCATGTACACATAGACCTATTTTCACTCAAAAAGTCAAAGAAAATTGACAAAAATCCAATTTTTCTTACTCTGGTACAGTGCGTCAATCAAATAAGGTGATTCTGCACTTTAGCCGAATTGATGATTATATTTTTAGAAGTGATTGAGAATAGCAAAAATTGCAGTTTTCGGAGAAGTGAAATGTGAAAGAGGAAACCCGGTACAGACGAAGATCATGAAAAACGAAAAGTCTTTTAATCACGAATATTGACAAGAAATAATTTACGGTAATCGAGAACTGTAATTTAGCGTAAAGCTGACGGATTGCTTGGTGTTTACCCTGGAAGATAACTCCTTATAATCACGTACTTCTACTGCTTGCTTCTACCGCTGTCGACAAAATCTTCAGGAGAGTCAATGTGTGAATTTTAAACGAGTTTTTCCATCGTTATAATGCATGTATTACAATTGTTAATCTTTCATCTAAACAAATTCTTGCAAATGTAAAACACTACTTCTGGCCCACCAGCGGCCTAGCTGTAAAATTGGCAAACTCTGGTATTTCGATTTCAGGCGAACGGGCAGGTTGTATTTGCGTTTTAATGGTTTTCCTCATGTGTAACGTGGCTACAATGAGTTTCCCTTAGAAAGTTCTGCACGAAGCATCCCTCTTCTTAGGCAGGTAACCATTGCGTGCTTTTAAACCAAAGCAAATACTATTTCTTGAAAATATCCGTGATTAAATATTTTCGTTTTACACGTTATATTACAAAAATTGTTACTTTTGCCATGTTCTGTAACATGTTAAAGTTGTGATCATCAATTCCGTTGCATTTAGTGTACATCCATTTGCAAGTTTGCTGATACAGTAAGGGTTGCACTTATTTTTAAAACAATTCAAAATATTATGAAGAAAAATTAAATACGTTGATTCGTGTTTAAATGAATGAAATCATCGTTAAAAAATATTTCAACGTGTATTTAACACTAAGAGCGTAAAGACTTAATAAAATTAAAAAGAATCTTTGAATACAGGACAAAAATTCAACAGATAAATGAATGTATTCTTACGCATACTATTAAAACAAAGTATTTTTAATACTAAAGAGCAATATCCATTTGCATTAATATTGGCTTGAAGACATTTAGGCCTTTACTTCACCAAACTGAAGCGCACTTTTTTTATTCTTACTATAATAATGATTTTAAGGCATGGTTATATGATACCGAGACGTTTTCATTCAGTTCCTACATACATTTGAGTAACTGTCTGGTGAAGTTTTTAGAATATAATGTGTATCGCACAGCACCTACCTACTCCTTTACAGTTGGAATTTTATATTTGGGATATTGAAACTGAAAATCCAGTTTTGCGTACTTTGTTTTAGAATGGTTTTTAGAATATTTAGATATCCATATTTATTCAAAATACAAATAATTATGTACAACCGCTTGCTCAAGGAGCTGCAGAGAAAAAAATATCAAAGAATTTTTACTGATTTACTACAAATCTTAATTAACGTATAAAGATATGACCAAATTTTAAATCGATTTCAGCAAAGTCAGATTTCTTTAACTATTCAATTCTTCAAGCGCTGAATAAAATGCAAAATTAAAAAGTCAGATTTTATTTCAAATTGATAGTTTTCAAACTTAGGATTGAAAATATACTTAAAATTTTAAATATTATAGTATAGGAAGGAAGATAAAAAGGGCTGGTGCACGTGCCTTGCAGAAATTGGGCTAGGGCCATAGTATGAGACTGTTTTCACATAAATGCATGCTATTTTGATAAACTATGCTGCATATAAACTGATTTTATGAATCGTATGTTTCATATTCCATCAGTGGCCGAGTGCATAATATCACTGAACTCTAGTAGTTCATCTCAGGTTCAGTTGTTCGAATCTCAGCGTACAAGCTTGCTGCATGAGTTTTCATGGTTTCCCTCATGTGTAAAATAAATATGAAACAATTTCTCTTATACAAAAGCACCACTTCTCGGACAGCTATTCTATACTTCCCCGTAATGTAATTGATCCTGGCTAGTGCCAGGTTTTGTTTTCTGCAAATAGCCAATGCGCGACGTTTCCGTCGTTTAACTTAAATACCAGCCAGTTTCCCTTAAAAAAAAAAGCTTCCATGAAGTCAACCCATCTAAGACGGATAACCGTTGCATGCTTTACCGTAATCGTTAACGATCTGTTTCTCCTCTAACATATTTATGAATTTGGTCGAATAATGGCTGAGTAAATAAGCTTTCGAACATGATAGTTCAACCGACTTAAATTTTGGCAGATGGCCTTTTCGTGTTTCTCCCTATGTGTAGCATAACTTAAATTCTTAGTCAGAAATGGGATGAAAGTTAGGCAAATGGCTCCCTGTGCTTTGCCTAAATTCAATAATCTGTTTCCTGTATATAATAGGGATAGGAACTATTTTTCTTATGAAAAATTCTTTTTACGTATTTTGAAAAAAGATTTTCACTGCCTGACAAGAAAGCGATGATTTTAATTTTCGGAAAGTAATGCTTAGCTCTCTTTTGCTCAGCAAGAGGACACAGCTGGTTTAGTAATTCGTACTGAAATTATGAGGTCCAGCGTTCGTAAATATCATTTGGATTTCAGATTGCGATATATTTTTCGCGTTAATTGTGATAAAATGTTACATTACAAATTTAGATAACGTAACTGTTAAAATTATTTAAACACGAAAACACCCGAGAATTATAACAAGAGTTTTGAAAGAATAGGGAAAATATCTAAATGTCACGAAGTCTAAATATCGCGAAAAAAATTTCTTGTATAATCCAAACCTCAAAAATCCCTTAAGATTCGTAGAGATTTTTGTTGATAAAATCTTTGTTCTTGTGATAGATTAAATACATGTTCTACGAATGGAAAATGAAACTAAGACTAATTGATAAAATTATTAACGCTGATACAGTTGATGAGAGTTTGGAAGATAATATGATCGCGTTTCTTGCAGCCAAAAATGCTGGAGTAATAGTCCATTTCAGGCATTTATCGAATGTTTCTCTGAACACGCTATTTTGTAAATGATCAAACTTCTGAAGCTAGTAGCCGAGTATATATATATATATAAACTCAGAGCACTAATAGTTCGACATGAACTCAAAGCTCTGAGAACGAGCTGGCTATATGTGTATTTCGTTATTTCCAGCACGTTTAATATGAATAAAAGCTAGTTTCTTTTAGATAGTCTTCCATAGAGACATCTCTCTTTTTATGCAGATAGGACTAGTGTGCTGTGCCATAAGCAAATACATAATCCATCAATTGAGAAATTTTGTTGACGGCTATGGTATTTACGATGCAGTGATCTGTAGAATATTTTAAGTTAAGAAATAAATTTTTAATGATTAACTCCCAAAATGTTTTTATGAGCCAGACAAAAATATTCAAATTTTACAAATGCTCGTTCGTATAAATTTAAAAATTCCATTTTGTCTATAGTATTTCTTTTAACTGCAGTATAGTTACTTTGTGCATAAGAATCATTTGCATACATGCCATGGAAAATGTTCTCCACGAACCTTATTCCTCTTGAATACGTAGAAGAATAACAAACTCCTCTTAAAATGAATTTTTATTCTTGAATATGGTTTATGAAACCAAACTTTACTCTGTGTTTTAAAAATTTACAGAAACTCTTTTCAGAGCTGTGTAAATTATATTACGAAGGTTTTTATCCTAATGAAAATACCTTTTTGAATTCTACAAAGAATACTTTGCTAACCTCCCCGAGACTATTTTAGAATTTTAGCTCGGTTTTATATAAACTGGGCCATAGATCTATGGAATTCTATATAATTTTAAATAAAACTTTTATAGAATTACGTTCAGAGTTTCTATAGGGATGAAAAGATCTTCTTCAGATTGTGCAGACTCTATAAAAATCTACCAGAGTCCCTAAACGTACCACGTTTAATATCTTATGTAATATGTATGAATTACATAGAATCTTATGTAATATATATAGAATCAACTAATAGAATTCTTTTGAAAATATCATATTCATTTTACGAAAAAATGAGCCATTATCCTAAAACATACTAAACAAGTTTTTTCGTTTAATTTTCTATAACTTATTTTACAGAAGCTTTTAAGTATTTGAAAGTATTATATCAACAAAATTTACTTTCAGGATTGAAAAGAATAAATTAAATTTTCATTTCTGAACAGAAGTTTTAAACCTAAGCCAAATTTTGTAATCATCTATGACACTGAGGAGGGGAGTAAAAATTTTCGAAACTGATGTCATTTTTTTCTAGTAAATTGTAATATCGTTTTTGAAAACTAAATAAGTTAACAATTAATACATTTAAATAGTCAAGTTTAATTAAAATTTAAAAAACATGTCTCTTATCAAAGGTACACATATAAGTACTTCAGTAATTAAAATTTTATATTTAACAGCATAGATTAAATCCTTTAATTATAAGCAAAACTACAAAAAACTTAACAGTTATGAACGAAAAACGCTTATTTTTGCT